AAAAAAGAAAAACAAAAGTTGTTAGTTAATCATATTTTAAAAAGAAAAAAGATTAATTTTAATATCAACAAGCCAATGAGTTCTATTATGATATTTTTTTTTTCCTTTATCTTATTGGAAAAGGTAAAACAGGATTCAGGATTATTTTTTAATTTAGAGTAATTTTTAAAAAAAAAACCAATTAAAGGTTGGTTTAAGGTTAGATATGTGTTTATTGAAGTTTATAGATTATTTCTTTGGTGTTTGCAAGAGATTGGACGATGAGAAATTAGTTTTATTGGTTCAAGAGATTAAGACATGACTTTTCGACAATTGAAGGCCGTTGAAAAGCTCTCTAGTAGGTAACATGTTGTTTGTCATTGGAGACAAAATGCCGTTTGCCCTTTTTTTTTTTTTTTTTTTTGAAATACATAGGGGACGAGCCATACACCAATTTTATAGAGAAAAAAAAGATGGCTAGTCATGTAATCCTACGAGCGCCTAGCGTACTTTGCTATAAACCATGCACTTGGCCTTTTCTGTGAACGCCTTTATGATTTTTTCTTATATTTTAATTAAATTTCATTAAAGTAAATTAATTAAGAAATATATTTAGTATAGTTTTTTATTAAATATCATTTTATTTTGACTTGGTTTTCAAATAAGATTATAGTATTTCTTTATAATATTTACGAATATTTTTTTGTGTAGTCCTTCGTTTTTTTCTGAAATTATATTCATTAGCTATACTATGCATATCTCATTATCATATAATTATATAAAAAAACTCTAAATAGTTTCCAATGGCATCCTGCGAATATTATATTATTTTTATATTTTTAAATGTGTTGGTATTGTCATTTTCAAAACATTATTTTTTTTTATTAAAACTTACTTTTCTGACTCTATTAAGGTTTTGCTTAAAAAATAATTAGGTGAAAAAATAATAAGAAAACGCATTAATTAGATAAAGAGGTTTTAATTAGAAAGATATATTTTTTATTCTTATTTAAAATCATTCAATTTTTTTTATTTATTTATTCTAATTGCTTTTGGTTTTTATCAAATAAAGCACATAGAATAGAAAAGCTATATTTTTTTTGTTGAATAGAAAAGCTATATTTTTTTGTTGTTGAGGAAAACAGAATAATAAGAAAAGAAGAAATTACAACACCAAATTACAAATTATTTTTTTGATAGAATTTAAATTATTATTTTTTAAAAAAATATTGATGTATAATTAAATTTAAAAAATCGAATAGTTTTTTCTATATAAAATCAAATATTTTAATCTATATTTATTTCTCGTTATTATTCTAATTTAGTTTTTAGTTAACACTAAGAGTTTTTTAAAAAATTTATTTAGATATATAATGCTCAATTTATAAAATTAAAGGAATGCGTTAACTTTTTTATTTAGCAATTAAGATTTTTCTTAACAATATTTATGTTTTAAATAAAAAGTTAAATTTTGATCTGAATCATAAAAAAAAAAAAAGAGGTAAACTAACTAGTAAGGACTATGACAACACAATAATATAATCAAATCAGTTAATAATTTATTATATATAACAACTAAAACTATATATCAAAGTAAGGTATGTTTTAAAACCGTTGAAGATTTTAGAAAGCAAAGGGCAACTTTTAAGGCAAAAGGTATAGAGGCTGATGATACAAGGCCAAAAAAAAGGAGGGTTATTTATTGTTTTTATTGCCAAGAGCTACTATTTATTGTTGAAAATTCATTTACGTGCTGTTTAAAATTTTTTTATTATAATTGAATTTAGTTATAATATTTAATTTAAATTCAATTAACAAATAATTTAAATTTACATGTTTAGAAAAGATAAAATTCAATTCATTTTATTTTTTATATTACCCTCCTCACTTTCATCTTATTCCTTCAAATGTCTCTAAACAAAAAAATATATATATAGGTATTTAAAAAGTTAATTTTAACATTAATTTATTCTTTTTTATTTGTACATGTTAGTCTCTTATTTATTTTGTATATTTTAAGAAATTAAATTCCATTTCAAATCCAGTTCTTAATACCCAAAATATTAAAAGATGAGATTTCATTAAAACCTCTAAATTAAATTAAATTTAAAGAGTTCCAAACATATTGTTATTTTCTTTTCGCAATATGGAATATAATTTTTTTTATTTTATGATCAAATTTAAGATATCCACCAATATTTTTATCTAAATTTTTGTTTATAACTTTTTTTAAGGACTGGATGAATTTTTTTAATTTATTTTACATTTTGGATATATTTGATTAAAGGCAGTGACAATTGGAATGTATATGATGTTAAATTTGAATTTTATTTCTGAAAATTTGTTAAATTCAAAAGGTCTTACAAATCAAAAGCTAGGCAAAGATATGCTTAAACTAAAATCATGAAGTAGTCATATATCTTTGAGATCTTGAAAATCTTAGAGTCAAAATATAAAATATCTATATTCTATTCTATAGTCATTCGAAAATAAAATTAAAATATAGTGCCATGTGCGTTCATAAACTAAGATACTCAAAAGCACAATATAATTAATGTGATTTCTTTTAGCTTTACTTTAAATGCACAGCTACTTTTTCTCTACTTTTAACATATAAAGTTATTTTTGGAATATTATATTTCAGAACTCATTTAATCAATGGCACGTGGATATTTTAATTTCTTTTTTTTTTCTTTTTTTTTTCCTTACAAATCTTACTACCACCTGGATTGAAATTATGAAATTATACATTAAGAGAACGGTTTTTCATTACACACACTAGCCATCTTCTTACGTTTCATTGTTCACATCTCTGTATGAACATTTCTTTCTTTCTTAATCACTTAAACTTTCTATTTATTTATTTATTGCCTTTAGGTCATTCAACTTTTTATTTTTCAGTCCCACCCTTATAGGTTACGTTGGTATGATTTTAGCTTACAAATAGAATTTTAAATTATTGTTAAAAAGAAAATTAAAACATGTAACAAGAAAAATTACATAGCTATTTTGTTAAAAGACACGAAAAACTTTAATTTCATCCCTCAAATTTTAAATTATACATTTGGTCCCTATGGTTTAGACTTTTTATATTTCATTCTGAAACTTTATTTTTATCACATTTATTACATCAAAACTTTTTTATATTAAAACTTTATTTTTATCATATTTTAATCCCTAAATATTGAAGGATAAGAGAGAAAATTATCTAGAAAAAAAGTGGGGAAAAAGTCTTTGCTCAACAAAATTTTGACCAAAAAATTATGAACTCGGCGTAAATGGAACTCATTTTTGAGAATGGAATTTAATAAAGGTGGTTTTACCTTTTAAATATGCTAGAAAAATATATTAAACTTATATTTTATTTTAATTTGGTTTGATTTTAGATTTTTGAATTGATTAGAAGATGTTTTAGGAATGAAAATGTTTTTAGTGAGGTTTCTAAAATATTTTTTTAGGTATTTATAAATAAAAACTAGTTGAAAATGAATTTTTTAAATCAAAAAACTCAAATTTTAATTTTCAGTCACCTTTAGTGATCATAAAATGACATGCCATCCTCTTTACTTTATTTATTTATTTTATTTTATTGATAATAGGACACTTGCCTTAGTAGATGATCTCATCTTATCTGCTAAAGCATTTTATGCTCTGGTGTTTTTATTAAGGAGAAACAATCAATCTATGATGAATAACTTAGTTGATTCAGTTTATTTTCTAATAATAAAAAAAAAAAATCAATGACAAAATAACAGGAGCACTAGACTAATGAGTAAAACTTAAAAAAGGAAAAAAAGGAAGGAAAACAGGACAAGAAAAAAATTAAAAAACGAAGAGCTCCAATCCAAGGACAAAAACTAAAGGAAAACAAAAACCAGAAATAAAGTTGATTGTACAATGCAATTCACAATCGACAATGCTCGTGGGTTTACATGTATAATTGTCTGAATAGTGTTTTACTCGATTTTTTTTTTTTTAAAAAAGCCTGACACATCTAAAATTTTTTTTATTAGCCACATGCCTAGAATTTTAAAAAAAATTATTATTTTTTAATTTAAATTTTAATTAATATATTCTCTCATTTAAAAAAAATATATTTTTGTTAATTTTTTAATTAACAATTAATATTTTTAATTCTTTTTATAATTTCATATATTTTAAAAAAATATTTTCTTACACTTGTATTTAAGTTTAAAAAGTTGTGTTTTTATTATGCATTTATAAAAGCAAAAATATAAAATTGTTTAGACATAGCAACCGAAATTGATCTATAACCAAAAAACCCATTCAAAATAAAATATTTACAGGTGGAACATATTCATTGCTTTTTCTAAGGAAAATCCGCTCTTTACTTTTAGTCTTTTAGTAATATTAACAACCCATTTTATTTAACAATTTATATATTTTTCAATTCATTTTATTATAGAACAGCATATCTTTTTGTTTCTTGATTAAAATCATGATACCCAAAAAACATATCCATAACAGCATCACTTTGTTTCCTTGCATTAGAAATCCTACCTGAAGCGTAACACAAGTGCATTGGGTAGCTGATTATCTATAACAGAGAAAAAAAAAACCAACCCTCATGGGTTATATTTTTCTCTTTCAATTATTCCTTATCATATAGATTTTTATTTCATTTTATTTTATTTTGTTGGTCTCTTTTATAGTTTCCATAATATTCTTATATTTACTTCCCATATCAAAAGCCCTTCTCCATGCAATATTGATTGTATATATGAAAACTAAAAGAAATTACCTCATCTTATGAGTGAAATTAACTAAAATCCTTCTCCAAGAACTTGAACAACTCTATTATATCATGCACACAAAGCGCCTATGAACTCTATTTTCATTTCAACCAATATCACATTTCAGGATTATATTTGAGAATCCAAGTATCAAAACCCCCAATTTTTACAAAGACAAAAAGAGTGCTAGAATTTTTACCTTCTTACATGTCGTTTTCAACCGTTTGGCTCGCACGCCCAAAAAACACAAAACATGGTTATGCTGTCTCATTCTAGTCAACCAATTTTCTTCTTAATAACCAAACTAACATTTCAATTAATTAGAAAGTAACAGAGATGCCAAATCTTATGCTAAGAAAAACAAGGGAAATCATTGTTACCCCATCTTCTGCGCAAATAACTTCCAAGTACTGCAATCACCACCATGGCTGGGCAATTACAAAAAATTTTCCACCATCAAAAAGTACTATAAAATGTAATGATCATGAAATTGCTTGATAAGGCCTTGCAGACCGGTTTTCTCATATATTGATTGATCAATTTTCCTTCAAATGTGTATAACATTATTCATTGTCGGTGAGATCTTCAGGAAACTCAGTCAGTAGGGCTTAAAGGTCATCATCTCAATGAAGAAGCTACTACAAAAGCTTCAGTCCACCTGTGACATCATCAACCACTTCAACAGGTCCTGCATATTAGTGTGAAGGAAAGAATTAGTTCAGTGAAAAGAAAACTGGTGCTTGCCACAATGATTTCAGGTCAATGGTTACTTCGCTTTTTTGTTATCTGAAAGACACTTCCATTTTCAAGTTCCTGGCGGAATTGTGGGCTAAATAGAAATCATGTAAGTCAAACACATATTTTGAAATGACAAAGTCATGATTTTAAGATCATTGAGTTGCTTAATGAGTCAGCCACCATGTTACCATAACCAAACTAAAGCCAGATTTAAATCAACAGTTGTTTGGTAAGAAGATGGGAGAAGTAATTTTATCCAATTTAACAATCCCGAGGACTAGTTATGGACAGACAAACCAGAATAACAAAACCACCTACTGAAACTCAAGGCAAAAATTGAACTGGTAAATAAATATCAGATTATCATTGCTTCTTTTCACACTCCTATTCTTAACCAGTAGCACAAGGAATCATAGAATTTACAAGGGAAAAAAAGGACTACAAAGACAGGTTTAAAAAATGGAAGCGTAGTTTACAGTATGCAGGCCCCACCAAATCGTTTCTCTTGTTAGTTTTTCAGTCATATAAGGATAGCACTGAATATATTCCGGAAAATAAGATTTGGGAGCATCCTATTATGAAAAAAGCCATGAATCAACGAATATCTCCAGTTAATTACATACTTGAACTTTGAAGGTTAACAACAAAATTCAAGTAAAAAACTTGCTGACTTGTCAAAAGTTACATTTTCTATTATCAATGTCGTAAAAGTATGTTTACTACTTTTTGCTCATAATTTCCATATTTTCTGAAAGCTAGATTATGTAGTTCATAAATTCTTACATCTAATTTTACTATTTAATAGACCATTTTTTATCTAAAGTAAAGCAAATTTAACAAACAAACTACAAATAGATCCAACACAGACAAATCATATAGCTGATATGACACAAGCATACTGGAATGGAAACTCTTACCAAGAATAGCCATCACTGTTCTTGAATCTGAATCAACAGCAACAAATGAATTTCAGTCCAACTTTTGTTAAAGACCAAATGAAAATGCACTGTAGGTAAATTGGATAGCAAGCTTGTTGGAACAGACTTTTTGGTATAAATGAGTTTAAAGAAGGAAATCAGGCATTTGGAGCAACATCCATAACCAAAAAATCAAAGTGCGAGAAAGCTTGGTTTTTCCTCAGTTTTCAAGGAAACATGCTAATCCCATTCCACTTGTTCAATTGTTCCATTAGAATATAGAAACACGTGCATACTATCAAAATCTCATGTTAACTTAAGAAAAAATATCACATTATTAGAGACTTGCAACTGCTAAAATGTTCAATGAATCAATAATATGATCACCTAGACTGTCAAAAATAGGTCTGCCTGTCTGGGGTTTGAGATACTCCCAAGTTTCTAATCCATTAACTTCACAACAAATACTTTATGGAAATTTATAAGCGTAATAACGTATCCCAAATGGCTAAATTTATAAGCGTAATAACATATCCCAAATGGCTTTGTGCTTCAAAAAAATTGAAGTGGTTTCTTGCTTCCAACTTTTAGCCAAATTCCTGCTACTGCCTCCCACCCCCACACTAACTAAAGCTCAAATGCATTTTTCTACATCCTGTTAATTTGATTCTACAAACTCATGAATTACCATTCTTCCTAAAATTTAAATTACATAAAAAAAAAAAACCATTCCAAGTGAGTTCAAGGCAAAAATAATACTCCCAAAAAAATGAAATTTTATGAGCAATCATCAATCTAAATAAAATAAAAATCAGCTTTGCAACTCACTTGGAGCAATCTGTGTTCTTCCGGCATCAATAGTAATATGGGTTGGTAGTTTAAGTGATTTTGCCCTCTCCTGTAATAGTTGAAAATGAATTCGTCAAGAATGAATCAGACCAGATAAACAACAAATTATGGAAATCATAATAAAAATAAAGGAGAACAGCGCTAAAACCATTAGAATAAAAGGTCATAGTTGAAAAATCAAACTCAGAATAAAATAGATAATAGTCTCAGCCAACAAAGCTTTAAAATTATATATAAAAAATGGCATCATAAGCTGGTTGATCTTTTTTACCTATTTAACTAGCATAACAGCAAACACAAATGCAATGGTTGAGAAAAACCTCTAAAAAGAGAAATTTTCTGCAAATATGAGCTTGGATGTTCAACTGGGATGCATTCCCAAGAATATCAAGAGGTGCTAAGCGAACTTTCCAAATTTTTGTTGAGTTCATTTTGATGTCTGCCATTTTTTTAGGATTCTCATCTGATGCACACATCAACTACAACTGATATTCAGTTTGATTGGATAAATAGGTCAATGTACCACCAGGCTGCAAATTGGCACCGGTAAAAACAAAGGTAGGTGTGGTGAATTGGGCTATAAGCTGGGAGAGGCAGCTTAAAAATTCACTTAGAAACCTAAACTTGCCATCGAGAAAGATGGTTGAAACAAGGCTAAAGGAAAATTCCTTTAACCAGAGACTAAAAAAATCCATGATATATCTCTGTGTCCAGAAAAGGAGAAAAGTTTTTGTAGCTTTAAACATATAAAACTACACATCGGGAATTCATTTGTCATCCATTTATAGACTAACAAGTTAGATGATACTGTAATATTTTTCCTTGAAATAGCAAAAAAAAAAATGATCGCATAGTATCAATTTGATGAAATTAACTGAGGGGACACAAAAAAATTTGACATACTGACTTGCAAAACAAGCATATCCTCCTCACTTTCAATTTTCACGACCACCTTTGGCTGAGCACATATCTCCCACCTGCATATTTGCAAAATATTTGAAACTGAAGAAGAAGTGGCACAAAAAGAGAAGAGAGAGAAGCAAAAGCATAACCATAAGGCCATGTCATTTAGAATAGCAAGTGTAGTACCTGTTTAAAGCCTTAGGTGCTCGGTTAAGAAGCTTTTTATACAGGCCCAAAGTTGCATGACTAAAACCAATGACAAATCACAAAAATTTAAACAGTGTTCAATTGTAGAAAAAGAACATGAAAATTAAGTGAATGAGGACTGTTAATGTTAATCTATCATTGAATAGGTGGACTGCATGTTCAAAGGAATATGGCAAAAATTTGACTCTTGTTAGTGTCGAGTAATCAACTATTTGCTAAAAGATCAAGAGAACGAACAGTCATCAAAGTAACAAACAATAATCTGCCTCAGTGCATGAAAGGAAAAGGGAAAGGTGAAAGAAGGGGATATGGTATCTAAGATCATATTTTAATCAGACAACAATTGTCGCAAAACAATAGGGTAAAAGTAGACCCTCTGGACCCTGGTGGCAACTGCTTCAACAAATAAATGAGACTGAAATATAGATCCAAATCAATAACTTCTCAACAGGCTCTATAAGCCATATGGTTATGCGACATTCAAGGTAACATCCAATAAGTTGGTAGGTGTTGGGATGCAAAAGAGGCCATGAACCACAGCATACCCAGTAAAGCAGATTTGTAACCCAACTTTTGCAAAACTAAATAATCCAAACTAACCATATCTGAAAACACTAGCCAAGGCCATTTTTACTTTTGGAAAATTTTCCACTTTTAAACTCGCTAAATGTCTCAATGTTGTTCTTCATATGCCAACATGCCAATATCATAAAACAATTTAATCATTTATTATCATGTTACTTGTACACAAAACCAGGCTGTAGTTGGTTGTTCCCTTGAAATTAGTTACAGAAGCTATTCAGTAGATGGTCTCAGTGGTCAACAAGCTAGAAAATCAGCCATCATAGGATTTCTTGATAATTGGATAATCTCTCAATTGCCAAACCATCAATTAATAAAGTTTCTACTGATGAATTGTTATACAAATGATGTCAATAACTGATATCATAATTGATTTGGGTTCACGAAAAAAGAATAATCAGCTATCTTTAAAGTTGTTTGCTTCTATCTCTAGAACTGTCTGTATATTCTACAGAGAAGAGAACAGCCTCTGGACCCAGAAAGTAATTCAAGTATCAGCTAAAACTAGTTTACTCTAGCAAATTTTAATGTCATTTTTTAGCCTCTTTAGTCTAAATCTAACAAGATTTTGAAAAAGAAGAGTAATTCTGTAAAAAGAAAGTAAGATACAGCTCCCTTGTTCCAACTAATAGCTAACACAGACAGCTCCAGAAGAATAAAGAAGGCAACCTGCATTGAGCTGCAATTTTCCCTTTCCCCATCTTAAGATCGTTTCTGACAACCAACACCTACATTAAAAAGGATAAAGAAATTAAAATAAAATCATATAAAGAAATAGTAATAAGGACATACTTCATATTTCACATGGAAAAAAAAGGCATTACCATCTTGAAATCATCAAGAATATCAGCCAGCTTATCAATCTCAAATGGTTCTTTGGACTTGTTTTTCTTGTTTCCATGATGACTACTAGGGTTAGTTTTGGTGTCTTTAACCACTTTTGGTGTTAACCTTAAAAAGACGAAAGAAGGGCAGCGTGTCCCAATGCAGTAACCTAAAGCAAGGCAGCCTGCCCCAACTAATATGGCACTAAGCCAATTCAAATCCATCAATTCAATTACTCTACCTGCAATTCAAACCCTAGATTATTACCATTATTATTATACATATAAAAACTTTAGCCTAAAAGAATATGAAAAATAGAATAAGAATCATAGTTCGGGGAGAAGCTACACCTGTGCAGTTGTTCGGAAACCGATCGCCACGAAATGATCAATTGAGATGCGCACTTCTCCTGCATCTACAATTTAGGTTAAGACCAGCAGACTACACCCTGCGTATCGAGTCGTCTTTTTATTTTTTCACTGGCTAGTTTGCTGCTGCTGCTTTGGGTGTGTGTGTGTGTGTGTGTGTGTGTATAAATAGACACACACTACCTATTTGAAGTCAGATCTTTTTCGTAAAAAAATTAAATATACAGATTTTTTCAATCTATTTTTTATATAAAAAATTAAAAATTAAAATTAAAAAACTTATGTATATATTTAATATATTAAATTAAGAATTATGTGCAATAATAAATATATAAAAAGTCATTAATAATATATAAAGATAAAAATAAAAATAAAAAAATTAAGAGTATAAAGATATTTATTATCATTATTTGAATCTTTAAAATGGTTGTGTTTAAAAACTTTGTTCATAATTAATTTTTTATTTAATTAAATTATAATAAAAATATACACATTTAAAATTGATTAAATAAAATAATAAAAAATATATTATGCAAAGTCTCACGTATTGAAAATATTATCTAAAAATAATTTTTTTAATTTTTTAATATAAAATTTATTGATATAAAACATAAAAAAAATTACAAACTAATTAGAAAATCTCTTAAAAAATTAAATGTATATAAAATAACTAAAAAATAATTGTTATTTAAAAGAGTTTATATAAACAAAATAAAAGAAATAGTGGGTATTAATTTACATTTAAACTTAAAAATTATTTTTAACAATATATATATATATATAAAAAAAAAAGTTAGATCAAAATTAAATAGGTATAACTTTTGGTTAAAAGAAGTAGTCTGTTTGGGAGAGACCTGTAAAAATATGATAGAGATTCAAAGTTTTCCTATATTTTCAAGTTATTAAATTAGGTTTTATTGAGTAAGTTGTAAAAATAGCAAGAACCCCTTTAACTTAGTTGACATAAGAAGAAATATGGTGGGAATGGACATGAGAAAGATTTTAGGAACTAAACTAAAAGGAAGACTAATAACTGCTCTTCTATTGATAATTCCCTTAGAATTAAAAGGGTTTATTGATTATAGTGCGCATTAAAGAAAAGACTAGCGTGTGTCGATGCAATTTGAAAGGGTGATTGCCTACATTTTAAGGCAATTGAAACTTCATAAAGTTAATTATCCTTTTCATCACTTAAAATTTGTCACTATCGTGTTTGCTTTAAAAATTTAAAGGCAATATTTATATGGATTTTAAATTTAATTTTTTATAAATTATAAAAGTTTGAAAAATATAATATCATATAAAGAGTTGAATATACAATAAAAAAAATACATAAAATTAATCAAAGATTATGATTAAATGTGGTTGTTCATATGACTAAGAAGCTATTAGGGTTACCACTCTTAAATTGGGTTGTATTTCTTGTTATGTAAGGATATATTCTTTTTTTATAAGGTATGATTTATAATGTTTATAATCTTAGAATTTATTGGAATATAATAAAGTGCTTGTGATTTTAAAATTTCTGTGATATGCCATATAAATGTATAAGCCGATGTATTTTAAAAATTATTATAACATAACTTCTTTTGTATTTTATTCAACTAATTACATATGAGTTGTGTGGTTTAATTGACTATCATGATATTGCTTTGATAAATTATGTTTATTGCATTTTTTATTTTTATCTAAAAATCCTCATATTAGCAATAAAAATATTTATAAATTGATAATAAAATATTCTTTTTTAAGAGCAACTATGAATGATTGATTAAAATTTTTTGTAATTAAATGTGACATTGTAGATATATATATATATATAAAAGTTCATCCAAGCAACATTGAATGAAAATTGAGAAATTAAGAAAGATAACATTGAGAAATTAAGAGAGATTGACTTTTTAGTTATGAAAAAGTTTAATAATCCACCAATTCCTCATGTTTTAGAAAGTCAACTAATATTAGAGATATTTAAAAATAAGTCTCTATCATTTAATCCATCATTATAAACAAAATTATATTTATATACACTTTTAATATCCTCGTATTATACCTTTTGTTTTTATCAATTCCAATAAAATCATCACCATATATTTTTATAAGGCATCAATACACCAACATGCCCATTTATAATTAATGGTGATGACTTTATTGGAATCGATGAAAACATAAGAGATAATATTTTGAATATTAAAAGTGTATATAAATATAATTCTATGTTATAATGATGGATTAAATGATGAAGACCCATATTTAAGCATCTTTACTATTGTTGACTTTCTAAAACATGAGAAATTGGTAGATTATCATATTTTTCATATCTTGACCTTTACACTAAACATTTATTTAATGTTGCATTGATATATATATATATATATATATATATATATATATATATAGAGAGAGAGAGAGAGAGAGAGAGAGAGAGCTGTATTTAGTAACTTAAATGTATACTAGATATACCAAAATATATGTTGCTAATTAATTTTACATTTAACCTATGATGTGAAGAAAACTACCCTTATTAAATGAGAAGTGAGATTGTAAAACTTCAACCCTAAAAAAGAGATGTCATTTTTCAAAAGCATCAATGTGTAGAAATAACATGAGTATAATAAAATAAATTGTAGGAATTTAAATGTACTAGAATGATAATGGAAAACAAGAAAAACCTAGATAAATAAATTGAGTCATATAATTTAAATACATAATGTTGATCATTATTATAATAGTATAAGAACCTATTTATATTATTATAGAGTTCAAATTTTAATCACACATGTTATTCTAATCATATATAAAAATTGTTATTAGATAAATAGATTTATCAAACTAGGAGTGTTTGACACGACCACAAGATTGATGTCTTCTTCCAAGTACAGGAGTGTCGAAATAATAAATAATGTAGCAAAACCAGGGTTGAACCATAGGGAGGTTAATTGTATAAATTATAAATAAAAATAATATAACAACAACAACAACAATAATAGTAATAATACTACTACTAATAGTAATAATAATAATAATAATAATAATACTAGTAGTAGTAGCAGCAGCAGCAGCAATAACAACAACAACAACAACAACAACAATAATAATAGAAAACGAAGAAAAAAAAAAGAAGAAGAAATATATGAGAACTTTGAGATGAAAGATTAATGTACGGATTAAACAATGATAATAACAAATGTCAAGGTTAGAGGATCCACTAATGGTATGTCAAACAAGTATAATATAAACTCTTATTATTCAATTGAAAACCACACATAAAGAAGGTTCCAATCAGATTACAAATTGTTAACATGATTACATTAGTTATCTTATTCAATTAATGCTAATACTTGTAAATGTTGTCAGGCATTCATGATTATAACTTATGTTAACAACAAATTAAGTTTTTTTCATAGCTTAGGTGTCGATTATACAATATAGTATGCACTATGAAAGTGTCAAGCATTTGTTGTACCAAGTATTATACAACATAAATCTAGATTAATCATTTAAAAGTGATTATTACTTAAAAGTATATTTTTATTAAGGTTTTATATCAACATTTTGCACTTGAAGTATTAATAACTCCTTAACTAAAGCATGTTTTATAATAACATATCTAATAATATAAGATATCTTTAATTTGTGGTAAATGTTCATTTTAAATTCAGGCCTATCATATAAATGAAAGGATTGATTGATGAGTATAAGAATTGAAATTGAAAGGACAAAGAGATGACCTCTCTTAGAAAAGAGATGTCGATGTAGTTCAAACCGGAACACTGTTCAGTAATTGAGTTATATCTGGAGTTGTAGATCTTGGATTTAGGTCTAATTTATATGGATGGAAAGGTAAGACATAACCTACAACTTTCATGTGGAGGTATGGTTTTAAAAAGGCTATTTTCAAGTCCGAATTGTAGCAACAATGAAGAAGTTCAAATCTGTCATACAGCCTATACACTGTTTAGTATTTGGCCTATATATGGAGTTCTAGAAGTCCAGATGACTCCATTTTTTTTCTTGAAAAGCTGAGACAATTTGCTACAACTTTCATGTTTTCAAGTGGCTCCAATTTTGACGTTATCAATGACGTTTTGGGCAGACAAGAGAAGATAAGGATTGTCACCAAGTCAA